GTAAGAATCTGTACTCATTTATATTTGTATTTTTGATCCCAATGCTTCATGGGAAGGGTTTGGACTAAAAATGAAGAATTTTGTGAAATATGAAAAAGGTGAATCATTGAATTCTTAGAGTGTTCTGCAATTAGTGAATTATTATACAATCATAAAAGTAAAATTTCATATCAAATTCAAACACCCTCATCAAAATTATTGGGACTTTTAAAACACTGATGAAAATGTTACTAGAAATTTTACAGTGTTGCAGAGAGATTTATATGGAGATAACGATTTTCCTTATCAATTAATTTCACTGCCCACTATAATAATAACATTAGTCACTATCGTGATCCACTGTCTAACACGATTTTCTACTAATGATAGCATTCCTAAATTAAGACGTTCACTGTCACAGCACAATTTTAAATACTCAGCCACTAAGCAGTGGAATCAACTCCAAAATAACATCAATTCAATAAATGTCGTATTTGAAAGCAAACTTTAAAACACACTTACCTCGGTACTTACATTGTGAGTTTTGTCAGCATTAAGGTTGTTTTCAACAATTTTGAATTGTATTTCTGTTTGTCTCATGGAAACCTTAAATATGTCTATATACTGTAAAATACTATATGTACCTCAGGTAGACCTCTCTCAGCTTTGTTCATTTCATGATGATATCTTTAATTTTGATGTATATTTTTGGTAAAAAGTGACATTTTTGACTTCTTGTTGAAAACTTGCAAGTCTGATTGCTTTGATATTATACATATAGGTACCTCAGGTGGACCTCTCTCAGCTTTGTTCATTTCATGATGATATCTTTAATTTTGATGTATATTTTTGGTAAAAAGTGATATTTTTGACTTCTTGTTGAAAACTTGCAAGTCTGATTGCTTTGATATTATACATATAGGTACCTCAGGTGGACCTCTCTCAGCTTTGTTCATTTCATGATGATATCTTTAATTTTGATGTATATTTTTGGTAAAAAGTGGTATTTTTGACTTATTTGATTTTGATTGCTTTGATATTATACATATACCCCCAGGTAGGTACCTCGGATAGACCTCTCTCAGATTTGTTCATTTTAAATGATATCTTCAATTATCTAATTTTGATGAATATTTCTGGTTAAAAAAGCGATATTTTTGAATTCTTGTTAAAAACCGCAAGTCTGAATGGTTTGATACGATACATCTAGGTACCTCAGGTGGACCTCTCTCAGATTTGTTCATTTCACAATGATATCTTCAATTATCTAATTTTGATGAATATTTTTGGTGAAAAGTGATATTTTTGAATTCTTGTTAAAAACCGCAAGTCTGAATGCTTTGATACTATACATATAGGTACCTCAGGTGGACCTCTTTCAGATTTGTTCATTTTGTGATGATATCTTAAGTTCTTTAAGTAAAATGTGCATTTCTAATGGTGGAGCTATCTCAGCCGAGAGGCTGTTTGTTGTATTCAAGATTTTATCAGATGTTATGATGGCCAAGGGTTGAATTAGTCATTTAAAACACTAAATTTGTGAAAGCATAACTGTTGTTGTTGCTCAGTGTGTGTCGTGTTAGATATACCGGTAGTCCACATCCACATTTGAGCAGGATTTTTTAAAGTCAGTTACGATCAAAATTTTAATAAACTAATATATCTAGAATTTCTAGACAGCATGGATTGTTATATTTATATGTAAACTATCTGATTTTAATCTGATTGAAGAATCTGATTTTTGTTAAGTATTCTATACATATGTTTGACTCTAGTTATGACGTGTTATTTACTGCCGGTGTTG